CCCCAAAACCCCAAAACCCCAAAACCCCAAAACCCCAAAACCCCAAAACCCCACGATGCATCACACATATTGAGTTGCGCAATATTATATTTGAGTTCTAAATAGTCAGAAATCCTAATCAGTTTTGATAACATGTTCAATGGCACTCATGTTTGAAGAGCTTTGGAAGGAAGCTTCTACACCTACTAATGAGTAAGTTTCGAGAAAGTTTTGAATCTGCTCTTTAGTCAATCCACATGCACCTAAGAAAAGTGTCTTTAAGGATCTTGCTAAACCTGACTTGGCGATCCCTTCTATTATTGAGGAGACTCTTTCTGGGTGGTTTCCCCAATCGCTTGCTTCTTCGATTTCACAGCCTCTGAAGTTCATTCATTCAGTCTTAAATTCAAGATCTTCGTTTATTTTCATATCTTCCGAGTCAATTGCGCAATGTGCGAATTCTACTGTTCTTGAATATCTTGAAGAACTGATTATCCTTGAAAATTGAGATTTTGTCAACCTGAGTTTACTAATTCACACCCTCTTAGTAACTAGAGGAGTCAATTGGGTTATTCTTGAAATATCAGGATTTTCATGGTGCTTGTAAAGAGTATTCCTTTTTCCTTCAAGAACCAAGGTTTCTATCTTTCTTGGCTTCAATATCTTAGTTAATTTCTGGATTTCTTTCCTGTGTTTTAATTCAAGATCAAAGATCTTAATGATCGTAAAGCTGGCTCCTTGTACTAAGTTCTTTTTGCACTCTATCAATTTCTATAAATAACAGGATTTCTTTACTTTTGGATCAATGTTGTACAAGCTCATAAATGTTTTCATTATTTTTAAGGATTCTACAAGTAAGTTTGAACAGGAAACTTACTGATGAAGTTGAGAGTATTGATATCCATGCTCTTGTTCATCTTGTCAATAATTTTCTTTTCTTCCTTTAACATTTTGTTAGCTGAAATGTTTTTTTCCATTTTTTAATTGCTTAATGACTTCAACTCGCAGTTTTTAAGTAGGGGTTTTGGGGTTTTGGGGTTTTGGGGTTTTGGGG